AAAAAAATTTTGTTTATTTGCGCATATTGAGAGAGGTAACCAGTACGCCGTGTAATAAAATTAATCATTGCCTGTTTACATTTACATAACGAATTTGTCGCAAGAGCAAAATTACACATAAAATGTTTAAAATAAAGCTATGTTTATTATTAGTAGGATATACAAATTTTTTGCAATTTTAAACATTCTATATATGTGTATATTTTAAATATCTCAAGTTCAAAATCAAATACTGAACATCCTATACGTATATTTATACAGATTCTTGTTGAAAAATAGATACTTTTCCGTAGTAGTTTTACATGCTCTTTTTAGAGTGTACTTGCTATTTATTATATTTACTTTGCAAAATACTTATGCACAAAAAATGTACTTTATAAATTGAAATTACAAATGTTTGATTTTATGCACATGTACTCCAAGTCCTTAGGATGGGTCAAATTATGTCTTTTTCATGAAAATGTTTGGTTTTCTTACAAATTATGAGATGTATATGTAAAAAAAGAAAATTGGATACATTTGGATACATTTTTGGCTTGGTCAGGGATACATTTTCTTGAGACGGCGCGGCAACACTGTTTGAGACACTATTTGGAACGAACTGTTAACAGCCCAACTATTTGGAACGAACTGTGAACAGCCCAATTGAATTTAGTATTTTTTGCAACTTTAAATAGTTGCGTTCCAGATGCTTCACGATATTCACGATTTGCAGGAACAGCTGTTTTCTCCATTAATAAACCTTATGGAAGGTTGTCACCTGGAACGACTTCCTGTAAAAACCTGCAAATCGGAACGCAACTAATGCAAATTGCTTAAAACCCTACAAGAATTGGGTGATGGAAACTAACACATTCTCATTTCTCTTACTAACACATTTGCAAATTTTGCGTTGGTTAAAAAGAGACCATTAAATAAGGACATAAGTTGAAAGAAGATAAACAATCACATGTATACATTTGTTTTCATAACTTTTTGCACATTGGCCTTAAAATCGTGATGGGAGTGTTTGATCCCATCTCTCCCCTCTTTGAACTCCCTCTACCACCCTAATATATGGTTTTTTTCAAAGCCTCGAACCGTTTTGGAAAAATTTTCCGCTCATTGTGTGGCCACTTTAATAGTATTGTTTTAAACTTCAGACGTTCACCGCACAGCCGCTCATTTCGACGCCGCGGTCTTAGAATAAATAATATTACGCAATAATAATAAAGATATAATATATTTGTATGCCATTAACAACCATGCCATTAATTACAGATAATGTGCACTCATGATGGCGTTCTGCTCCGAAAGGCCAGTGTGGAGCATATAACCTACCTAAATACAAGCGGTTCACTGTCAATCATCGGTTATGACACACCACATCGTCTCTTCATTGAGTGGCGGCCCAACGATAACATACTTATTGCTGATGATAGCCAGGATTGGGCAGTCGTTGACACAATACCACGACGTTCGCGCACCATTTCTGAATGTAAAGCATTCAATATCAAGCCCACAACGGAAACTACTACAGTCAAAAGTCCTCGTTTAATACGCAATCAACTGGATGAACTCGGTGCTATTTTAGTAAAACATCGCGGACAAGTGTTATGTTTCATACATAAATGCGATTATAGCGTACACAGTGAATTCTTTTTCCAACACGGTAATGCTGATCAGTTTGTAAAGTCTATGTGTGACCTACACATTATTGAATACTCATTTACCCAAGATGGATGCACAGAGTACATTGTTCTCAATATGGAGACACAAAAACTGAAACGCACATTCGCTGAGCTAAACATCGATGACATGAAGAATATGGAATCGAAGAAAGAAAAAGGCTGGGTGAAAAATACTTGGTCAGGTCTGCTTGTAAACTTACCCGACTTAGCATCGGGTGTCAAGGGAAGTTCACCGAGAAATTATTCAATGCGTCAACAACCAACAACTCCAAATGCTGCAAAATACAGCGGCAGCAGTAGTGAAGATCAATCACCGGTGGAAGCCGAACTTGAAAATTTGAAAGAAGTGGATGAGAAGATTGTTAATACTTTGCCAGAGCGGCCTTGTGCACAGAGAAGTAATTATTTGTACATAAAGTCAATTGAGTTTTACCTAGTTATTTGTATCTCTTAAAGGTAAGCCTTTAAATGAATCGCAATGGTTAGAGTTTCAATCGGCAGATGGCGGCATAAGAGATACTTCTCGCGTTAAGGAAATTATATTCCACGGAGGCATTCACTACAATTTACGTGCTGAAGTGTGGAAGTACCTCTTGAACTATTATCGGTGGAATGATTCTGAAGTCGAGCGTATTCAACACCATAAAAACAAGTATAAGGAGTATTACAAAATGAAAGCACAATGGTTATCAATGACAACTACGCAGGAAGAAAATTTTAGTGGTTTTCGTGATCGTAAATGCCAAATCGAGAAAGATGTAAAACGGACTGATCGTTCACTAGAATTTTTCGCTGGTGAAGATAATCCTAATTTGACGGTGCTACAAGGCATACTTATGACCTACGTTATGTACAACTTCGATTTGGGCTATGTACAGGGCATGTCCGATCTTTTAGCTCCTATACTTTCCATACAGGTAAATATCAGAAAGGTTATAGTCGGGGAGCCCACGATGCTAAATCGGGATTTACTCGAGCGTCATCTTGACCTATAGAATTTTAAGATGATATGATGGGAAGTAAGAAAGGTCCTGTGATGTTTTTCCATCCAGCGGTGGGTAGAGGATCTACAGGCTTCCAAAAATGTAAAAAAACAGTAACATAGATTCACTGGAGCGCGTCAGATATTCATAGTGAATAAATCAAACGTGTTTCTGATGACGGAAATATGCTAATCTGCCGGTTTGCATGGTGGGGTTTGGCGTACGGAAGGGTCAAAAATGGGGGACAAAAAAATTTACCCGAGCGCGTCAGATATTCACAAAAGATGTTAAATGGGCCCGAATGAACCTCCCATTCAATAATCTGACGATTCAGATATGACGCAAGCTCGTGGCGTCTCACAATGCGGCCGAAATCCAAAAGTGCGGCCAAAATTCGAAGTTTTGATATAATGATTCGAAATTTCGTACCAGGGGGTTTTCGGGGTCACTAATTACTAATCCGCTGTCAGAATTGCAAAATTCAAAATGGCGGATCCAGTATGGGGCTGGTAAATTTCGAGCTTTTTAATTGGATTTCTTAGAAAGATTTTTAGTATGCAGTTTTATAGCCCATTAAATTTTAGTGTAACAAAGTCCAAGTTTGAAGCAGCTAGGACTTACCGTTGATTTGTGACAATTTTTTTTGTTGACGGTGCCAGTCGTTTTCTTCCATACGAAGTTTATTCGATGATATGAAGAAACTGAGCAACACCTTCAACAAAAAAAAATTCTAAAATCAACCGTAAGTCCCAGCTACTTTAAGCGTGACTTTGTTATACTTAAGTTGAATGGGCTACAAAACTGCATAGTCAAAATCTATCTGTGAAATCTAATTAAAAAGCTGGACATTTTTACATACAGGTGAAACTAATTTGTATAAGCGTGTTAAAAAAATATATATAAGAGGCAGAGATGTGTTACTGTTGCATTTAATAACTCAATTTTTTTTTAAATAAACGAAAAAATACCTATACATTTTTATTTCCTAAAAATTTCTGTTACAGTATTTCTTTTCACAAGTTTTGTAACATATTTTACTAACCTTCAGACGTAGAATCCATTTGGTTTTGTTTGGTTTCCTATGCTCTAACTACTTTTATACGTTAATAACTTTTCGCTTTTTATTACAAAAATGTTGTGCTTGGCAGAAGGTCTCACTAGAAATGAATATAAAAGCAGGGCTTAGGGTGCAGGTCTTTACAGTGAACAGTTTTCGCTTCGTACATGATCCTTTTAGCAAACTCAATGTCAGAAAAGGCCTGTCTAGAAACTAGATTTTCTCGAATTATGACCGCACTTTTGGTATTCGGCCGCACTACACTGTGCGTCTTCTTGAAGATGCAAAAAAAAATCGCCATTTGGATTTGCTCGAGCGCGTCAGATTTTCATACAGAACGTTCATCTCGATGCCCTTGTCGTCCTGTTCCATAATGTGACGATTATCTGGAAGGGATTTCTTAATCTGACGGTTTAAAAAAATAATTTAGATTCTGAGATGTACAGTCAACCAAACATATGTTATTGTAAACACTTATTATTTTATCCGTGCAACTATTATTATACAGCAAGTCCGGTTCGACTTTTTCGTCAATTTCTTCTATGTTTTCTAACCGATTTGAGAAATAAAAAACCGATTTGAGATCAAATTCGAGTCAATACACTTTTGAAATTCAGAGCGTATTGAAATTTGGTTTATGCATCCGCTTTGAATCACAGCGAACTGGGTCAAAGCGCTTTATGTGTCGGTATAAACAATTAGTTAATAAAGTTTCAAAGGTTGTATTTCATGTAACACCACCAGTGCTTTGATCGCCCAGGATTGCGTAAAAAGTAATTTTTAATTGATATGTGCTACTAATTTTTCTTAATATAATTTTAATCTAATACTCCTTCGATTTATGACTATTTCAATCCTAATTCAAAATATTTTGAAACTGGGATTAAAGTAATCGTAATCGAAGATGCACTTAATTATACATGTAATGTCATCGCCCAGCCCAAATTTATATAAAGGTTTTGATTCGCATATGTACATATACAGCGGTGCAACACACATCTCGATCGATAAACCAACCGACTTTGCTTCCGCGGAACACCGCACGTATATCAACTTTTCTAAAGCAGAAAACACCTTCACTGCGCTCCCCACACCAGCGGGGCTGTCACCGCTGCTGCAGCTCGCTTCGTACCGCCAGGATGCATAACGGACCCACGTCCAAATTTCCCTGCTGAAGCGGCTGTTCTAGCCGATGAGCGTGACAGCCTTCGCCAGGCCGATCCCGGAGATCCCCGTATCAGGGATCTCAACGCGGAGATTCGGCAACTAGTGAACGTACATAAGGGGAACAAGTGGGAAGAGCATCTGAAGACCTGTAACTTCACCTCTGGTGTGAGTAAGCTTTGGTCAACCTTGAAGCTTTGGTCAACCGACGAAGCATGACGACAGGGTCGAAATTTCTTTCGGCGACCATGCTTCGTCGGACCCGGAGCGATGCGCGAACTATTTTAGCAGGCAGTGCATACTGCATCCTCCGGCGGACAAAGCCAAGCGTCGAGTGACCAGAAGGCTGCACAAACTGCCAACAACTTGTGCCCCCTTGCTTTCACTTGCGGTGAAGTTCAGGTGGCTATCGGGAAGGCGAAAGCCTCCAAAGCCATGGGTCCCGACGGAATATGCATGCTGATGCTGAAAAATTTGGGTCCTGCGGGAGTAGCGTACCTAACGGAGGTCCTCAATATGTCAATGGCCACTCTCATCATCCCAGACTGCTCAAACCGGGGAAACCAGCCAACAAAGGAGATTCGTATCGTCCGACAACTCTCCTTTCCCCTGTAGCGAAGACACTTGAGGCCTTGCTGCTCCCGTATTTCACGATCAACCTGACCCCAGCGAAGCATCAGCATGGTTTCCGTAAAGTGCACAGTACAACAACAGCACTTAACGCCATAAACACTCAGATAACTCGTGGCCTTAACTGTAACCGTCCCTGTGAGAGAACGATTCTAGTAGCGTTGGACCTGTCAAAGGCGTTTGATACTGTCAGCCATTCCACGCTCCTAGAAGATATAGAGGCTTCCTCTCCCACAGAGGCTCAAACGGTGGTCGGCAAATTATCTGAGTGGTCGACACTCGTCGGTAATGTTTAGAGACAAATCGAGCAAACTCAGAAAAATAAAACAGGTGGTTCAAAAGGGCGGTGTCCTTTCCCCGCTACTGTTTAACTTTTATATTTCAAAGCTCCCTCAACCACCAGGGGGAGTCTCGATTGTCTCTTTCGCCGACGATTGCTCGATTATGGCGACTAGGAATGGAATTGATGACTTGTGTTCGAAAGTAAACGGGTATCTCTCCGAGCTTTCTCGCTTCTTCACTGCAAAGAGCCTAGCCCTCTCCCCTACGAAATCCTCTGCGACCTTGTTCACCACCTGGACGTAGGAGGTCAGGCGGCCGCTGGGAATTCACGTCGATGATACACCAATTCCGACGGTGAATAACCCCAAAATACTCGGAGTAACATTCGACAGTCTATTCTCCTTCTCTGCGCACGCAACCGCTATTGCCAATAAAGTACAGAGCCACAACAAGGTCCTCAAGTCGCTAGCCGGCAGTACTTGGGACAAAGACAAAGAAACGTTGCTGGCAACATACAAGGCAATAGGCCGGCCGGTTTTAAATTACGCAGCACCAGTGTGGTCGCCGGGGACTAGTAGGATGCATTGGATGAAGCTACAGACGACTCAAAACACCGTACTTAGGACAGCGACTGGATGCCTTCTGATGTCGCCAGAACACCACCTGCATGGCGAGGCGAAAATGCTCCCAGTCAAGGAGCATAACATAATGCTCTGCAAGCAGTTTTTGGTTGGGAGCCAGAGACGTGGGCGCCCAAACAGACAGCTGCTTGCAGAGGAGCCCTCGCCTAGGCACGTCAGGAGGCATCTCTACTGACGGACGAAGTCCAGAGGTTCATTAAGCAACCTCTGAACCAGTCAGCATACCGAGAGGCCCTGAACGGCACTCACAGGGAGTCAGTCTCGAGTTATGTAGACTCCAGACCTGTCAATGCCGTTCTAGGCACGCAACCACCGGACATTGACGAGACGGAGCTTCATCTGCCTCGGGAGACAAGAACCACAATAGCCCAACGCTCTGTCTACTGCAGCAGGTTAAACTCATACCTGAGCAGACTAAACGCGGATGTGCCAAATGAGTGTCCGGCATGCGCAGAGACCCCTCACGACTCGAAACATCTCTTCGCATGCCCGGAAAACCCAACAACCCTAACGCCTTTGTCCCTGTGGACCGACCCTATGGAGGCTGCACGCTTCTTAGGGCTGCCGTTAGTGGAACTTGACGACAACGACTAAGATATTAACCGACCCGGGCGGGGTTGTTGTAGCCGCTACAACAACAACAACGAGCCTTTAGTGAGAGTTTGTTTGGATTAATTCTCACATTTCACTCGCAACTGGTATCATTTGCAAGCATTTGGTCCGCTGGGTATACTTACAGTCATATGATTGTGACAAATAATATGAACGGTGTCAAATATTAAGCACCCTGTTTGGCATTGTTGTACGATTTCTGCTAGTCTGTCTTCCCACGTTATTCGCACACCTACAACATCATACACTGAAAGTTGTCTGACAGCATTCTTGTGAGAGGACCAGCACTTGCAGTTTTAATCTTTTGACAGGATCAAGCTGAAATCAATACATTTTGTAATTTGCTATTATATAAAATAAAGTTGCATTAAGTTAAGTTGAAACGTTAATTGCATAAATCTGACGGATTTATTAATGGCGACGAGGATGGGATTATCCCCATCACATTAAAATTCTGTTTCAACAACGCGTGACTTTGGCAAGCGACACAAAAACTACGTGCAGATATTGAGAGCGGCTACAAGTCAGCCAGTGAAGGTGACCCTTTT